TCTCACAGGTTCAAGGGTGTTAGGGCAGGGAATAGGTTAAGGGCAAGGACATCAGTCTATCTGGAGCAGAGAGTATTAAGTTGGGGAGGTAGCAGTGAAGGAGGGTGGGGCAGTGGAGCACGGGGAAGTACAGGCCTACCCTGTGTGACCACATTTTATTTCCTTTAGGAGTCAGCCCTTTGAGACAACAACTGTAACACAAAGAATGTAGCCTTTGGAATTAGCCCTGGGTTTGAATTCTGGTGATGAGGACACTCTTTTCAAACCCATCTGAGGCTTGCCATTTAAGTAAAATTCAAGTCTGTACAACTGTTGAAAATGCCCTGGATAATCGGGCTTCCTATCACCGCTTTGGCTGCTTCTTTCTGCTCTTCCTCATCCTGCTCTAACCACCTGATTGCCTTGCTCTTCCTCCTTCACATCAAGGATTCTTGCACTGGGGACTTTGCACTAATTATTCTATGCCTGGAATGTATGGCCTTTTTTTTCTTTTGGTGGCACTGGGGATTGAATCCCCAACCCTTTGTTAAAGGATCCTGCTAAGTTACCAAGGCTGGGCTCAGACTTGTGATCCTCCTACTTCATCCTCCCAGTGCTGGGATTATAGGTGTTTGCCATCAGGCCTAGCTACTTGATCTTTTAATTCCTGTAGATTTTGATGGTTTCACCTTTTCAGAGAGATTTCTCTGACCACCCTATATAAGCTACTACCCTTTGCCTACCCCTTTCATTCTAGCCCTCACCCGGATTTATTTTTGTGTGTGCCATTTACCACCACTTGATTCATGTTTATTATCTGTCTCAGAAAATGTAAGCTTCTTGAAAGCAAATGTCTTCCAGGGCATAGAACAGTATAGAGTAGGTGCTCTACTCTGAATAAACGAATGAGTTCTGTAACTGGTGAGCCTTGTTGTGCCCATATGCGAATCATTAGGATACTGATGATTGCTTCAAGCATTGTTGGTATAAAATAAGGTATCAAATACTGTACCTAGCTCTGTGTCTGGTAGACAGCAAATGCTCAGTAAATGCCCTCTTTCATGTTATTTTTATGACTGCCCAGTTGCTAGCTTTAGTGGTATCCTGAGCTTCATTAAACTTAGATAAGGACATCCCACATGTTAGTGATGAGCAAAAATGGCTATTTATATATTAAAGCTCTCTGAGCAGAACACAGTAATTAGAGTGGTTGCTTTTTCCTATAGAACCCTTAAGCTGTGTAAGTAACCCCTACTTAATAGAATAGGCATATTTTAGAGAATTTTTGTCAAAAGACATTTTAAATCAAGTAAATCTTATATTTCCACTGTAAAATTGGAGTTCCTATTTTTGCATGGAAAATGTCAAAATAAGATGATATCATAATCTGAAGTGTTATAAACCAATACATTCTGTTGTTGTTGTTTTGAGACAGGATGTCACCATGTAGTTTAGGCTGGCCTTGAACTCATTATGTAGCCCAGGCTGGCCTCAAATTTGCAGTGATCCTCCTGCCTCAGCCTCCCAAGTTCTGAGATTATAGGTGTGTGCTATCATGCCTGGCATAAAACTGTGTGTGTGTGTGTGTGTGTGTGTGTTCCCGGTACCAGGGAATCCAACTCAGGACCTTGTACTTGTCAGCCAGGTGCAGTGCCACTAAGCTACATCCCTGGCCCAAACATACACACACACACACACACACACACACACACATGCACACACACATACACACATATATATGTATGGATATGTGTCCCTTACTTTTAAATACATTTTATTTTATCCCATTCCCCCACTCAAGCCCCTTCCTATGTAGAAAAGCTGTTTCCATTTTTTTCCATTTTCACTTTTCTTGTAGCTTTCTTTCTCCCTTCCTCCCTTGTTCCCCTTCCCATTTGAACACTTTTTTCCCATTTCCCAACATCCATTATACATCTCAATCCTTATTTCCACATTCAGTTTCTCACACCAGAGAAAAATGTGGTATTTAAACATATGTGTCCATTTATTTCACTTAAGAGTATAGTCTCAAAGTCCACTCATTTAGCTAGAAATATCTGAAGCTCATCCTTCATTATGGGAGAGTAGTACTCCATTGTATTAAAAAAAAAAAACCCACATCTTCTTTATCCATTCATCAAAGGGCATTTGGGTTGTTTCCAAGTTTTAGCTATTACAAACTGTGCTACAATAAAGACGGGTGTGCATATATCACTGTGGTATGATGTTTTTAATTATTTGGGGAAAATACCAAGAAGAGGTATAGCTGGGTCAAAAGGAATCTCTAGTTTTAGTTCTTTGAGAAATCTCCATGCTGATTTCCATAGTAGTCAATCTCTACTCCCACCAGCAGTGGAGAAGAGTTTCTTTTTCCCCACAGCCCTTCCAGCATTTGTTATTGGTTGATTTCTTTTTGTACTGGTGATTGAACTCAGGACCTTGTGCTTGTAAGGCAGGTAGCAGCACCACTGAGCTAAATCCCCAGCTCTATTGTTTGATTTCTTGAAGGCAGCCATTCTTTCTGGGAGTGAGATGGAATCTCAGCATTCTGGGGTTTTTGGGGGGTTTTTGTTGTTGTTGTTTTGAGACAGGGTCTCACTATGTAATTGAGACTGACCTGGAACTCCCTGTGTATCCCAGGCTGATCTCAAACTCACAGCAATCCTCTTGCCTCATCTTCCCCAGTGCTGGGATTACTGGTGTGTGCCACCACGCCCAGCTTAAGTGTTGTTTTAATTTGCATCTCTCAAATGACTAGTGATGTTGAACATTTTTTCATATGTTTATGACATTTCTACTTCTTCATCTGAGAAGTGTCCGCTTATTTCAGATGTCTTTTCTTGCATTTGGTCTTTGAATTTGGGCGGTTTGATGTTTTTTAGTTATTTATATATTCTGGATAATGGTCCTTTATCTGAATAGTTGGTAAAATTTTTTTCGCACTCTGGGTTGACTCTTCACTCTCTTTTTGACTCTGGAAATTTTTGCTTTGTACCACTCATGATGCAATGATTTTGGGTAGAGGAAAATAACTTGTATATACCGCTAAGGTATATACAAGTAGTCACTCAGCAATGAATTAGAAGGCTTTTGTCTGGTCATGGCTTGTCAGACTTAGGGGCTATTAGCATGTCAGTGTTACTGTTAAGTAACTGGTACTTAATAAACTTTAGCTTGCTTTATTTAAAACAACTGTTGGTGACTATATTAAAGACAAGATTATGACTCTGACCCCAACATTTTGTTACTTTAAAGAACACCATTACCATAAAGTAAATTTGGGGGGGGGGCGATATTGGGAATTGAACTCAGGGCCTTGTGCTTGCCAGACAGGGGCTGTACCACTGAGCTACATCCTTGTCCCATACCATAAAGTAAATTTTACATAATTAATTTTTTAAGTTTCAAAATTCTAATGTGTTCTTTTTTTATTTGATTTAGAAACATTGTATGTATATTGTCCCTATAACATTCACAAATTATACAATACACATTGATTTCCTCATTGTCCACTAAGCCAGTCACTTTGGTATTTCACAGATGAAACTTTGACATCAATCCAGAGAACATAAGAAAGGTGCTCACAAAGAAGACTGCGTTTTGGCTGGAGAAGCCCTATGTCAGTCGTGTTATGTTATCTCTTGAAATTCTGTTAGAACTTGAAGATTAAGTATGTTTCCTCTGGGCACCGTGCTCTATTAATGTGTTCAGTACTTTAGCTACTGGTAACAGAAGACAATGGCTGCTCATAAAAAGCAGTCAGGTGAACAAGAAATCATAGAAAAGGGACATCTTAACCCCATGCAAAACCCTAGCACTGGAGACCAAAAAAAAAAGATGGAGGAAACCATACAACTAACTTCCAACTTCTATGATTGAACAATACATTTCTCCCATCTTCCACCAAAAAGAAAATGGAAAGCAAGCTGCAGAAGAGATCATGGGTGGACCAGGGATTTAGCTCAGTGATGCTGTGCCTGCCTCTCAAGTGCAAGGTCCTGAGTTTGATTCCCGGTACAAAAAAACAACAACAACAACAACAAAACAAAACAAAAAAAGCAGATCATGGCCTCTATTCTGTATTGCAGAAATCAGTGAAGAACGGGGATGGTCAGGTTCCCAGGCAGACTGTGATTAGAGTATTTCTTCCTGTTCAAAGATGATCAGTGCGTCTGGACTTCTGCTTTCCTCATCCAGGCTAAGAGTTTAAGTGTCCAGAATTCAAATATTACTTGTCCTAGTCTTGGCAAAATATCTAGGAAAAGGTATAGGGCTGAACAAAACCATATATTTGACTATTTCACAATATAGCATAGCATAGTTGACTCATTGAACTCTGATATGTTTGGGATTGAATTTTTGCCCTGCTACTTATATAGAATACTTAACCTAACTATATCTCCTTATTTACAAAAATAAGATATATATTTGAACCAGAGCCTTTGTACTGAGTTCTATCCTCAGCCTTTCAAAATTTTTTATTCTGAGAGAGGTTCTCACTAAGTCCCTAAATTTCCCAGACTGGGTTTGTACTTAGATCCTCCTGCCTCAGCCTCCTAGAGTATTGTGGTTGCAGGCACACATCACCACACCCAGCAGTGGTAACTTATTTATTAATAGTAAATGTGCATTGCTTTTTCAAAAATATTTGGTATAGAAAAATTAGTATATAATAGTGGATTTAAATTTTTTATTGTTGTGAACTGATGTTTGGTATCAAGGCCCTTCCAAAAGCGATGACTTTTTTTTCTTTTTATGTTACTGAGGCTCAAACCCAGGACCTAAGTCATGCTAAGCACATACTCTACAACTGAATTCTATCTACTTAGTAGCAGAGTTACTCCACAGGTGAAACTTACAGTTTTTGGAGGAATGTGTGTGCCAAGGTTTTGATCGTAGCATGGTTTCTATTAGTTGCATGTATTTATTCAGAGTGTGGATAGACTGGTAATCTGAGAAGTAGGAGCTTATGATAAATGTATTTACCTTATAAATAAATCTTTCTCCCCGACTCTCCCCAGCTGCTCAGATAAAGAATTTGATGAGCCAACTAGGAACAAAGCAGGATTCAAGCAAGCTACAAGAGAATCTGTGAGTAGCTTCCTACCAGGGCTGGGTTTTGTGAGGGCCCCTCGAGGCTGTGCAGGTGTCCTTGCTGTCCTGTGTGGAAGTCCAGGCTCCAGTATGTGAAGTTGGAAAGAAGCAGTGGGTCAGGAGGTAACAGCTGAATCTAGAAGGGGGCAGCACCATATATGAATGGGTCCAGATTTCCGCTGCCTCTCGATGGTCTGACTGCCGCTTTCTTCCCTTGATTAATTTAGCAGAACAATTTTTGGTACCGGGGGTCGAAATCAGGTCCTTGTGTTTGCGAGGCAGACGGCAGAACCACAGAGCTAAATCCCCGGCCCTAGCAGAACAATTTAGAGAGGTAGAGAAGGAAACTCTTACAACTCAAACTATATTCTGCTCACAGTTCATCTTGTTGACATGGGACTGCTGATGATCTAGTCTACAGTTAGATTTCTAGCTATATATAAAACTAGAAAAAATTTATTCCGAACGACCCAAGGGCAGCCTGCTGGAGAGAATAGTGGACTAGTAGTAGAACTCCTGATTCTTCACATTCTTTTTTACTCTGTTCCTGCAGTCATTCATTCATTCATTCATTCATTTTTGGGGTTTTTTGAGACAGGTCTTGCTGTGTAGTTCAGGCTGGCCTTGAACTCATTGTGTAGCCCAAGTGGGCCTCAAACTCAAGGTGGTCCTCCTGCCTCAGCTTCCCGAGTGCTGGGATCAAGGTGTGCACTACCACACCCAGCTTGTTCCTGCTTTTAGAAATTCTGTTCCTCATTGTTGAAGTATGCTGAGCAATATCCTTTGTTTACTGTCCTAGACTTTGTGAAGTGTGAATGACTTACTGCTTTGAATTTTTTTCAGAGAGATATGAACTATCTCTGAATATTTAAATCCTGTCTGAGCCGTTCCTGGCATCTGATTGACCCCTCTTCCTTGTTTTTGAATGCTCCCCTCTTTTCTAAATCTTGGAGGCCTATTTGCAGTAAAAGCCATTAATAGTTAATACTGTGGTATCCCAGTCGATTGAGACTGCTACTATAAAACACCACAAACTGGATAGTTTATGAACAACAGAAATTTATTTTTCATAGTTCTAGAGGTAGGGAAGTCCAAGACCAAGTACTGTCAGGTGCACTGTCTGGTGACGTCCTATGTTTTTTCATAGATGCCTTTCCCAGTGTTCTCATTTCCTTGAGGCCTCTTTTAGGAAGGCACCAATACCTGCCTTTGGACTCCATCCTCAAGATCTGAGTACCTCATAGTGCTCTCGTCTTATACCATTACCTTGGGGCTGGGATTTCAGTTTCTAAATTGGGAGAGGTGCCCAGACATTCAGACCAGAACAGGTGGTTTCTCTGTCCTCCCATAAAGCCTTCGAAGAAATGGCCAGAGATAAAAGAGAAAAAATAATTGGCCAGAGATTAGAGACCATGAAAGAAAGGAGCTCTTTTTATATTTTTATAACTTTTGTTTCCTTGTTTGTTTGTTTGTTTTTGAAATAAGGTCTTGCTATGTAGTTTAGGTTGGACTTGAACTTGTCATGATCCTTCTCCTCAGCTTCTGGAGTGCTGGGATTACAGGCATGTGTCATCACTGTACCTGGCTATTGCTACTACTTTTCAATTCCACTTACTATATTACAGATTTTCCTTATTTAATTTCCTTCTTCCCTACTCCTTTTGTTTAGTTTTTGCATGTATGTGGTGTTTGGTTTTGTTTGAGACAGGATGCACTATGAGCCCAGGCTGGCTTTGAACTCCTGGGCTCAAGCCATCCTCCAGTCTCAGGCTCCTGAGTAGCTACAACTAGAAGTGTGTGCCACTGTGCCACTATGCCTACCACCCTGCTGCTGCTGCTGCTGGTGCTGCTTTTTTTTTTTTTTTTTTTTTTTTT